GAACATGTTCCTCCCCAGCAGAGCTATATGCATTTATATTAATACCTTTACTAGGCAAGGTTTTATGGCAGCTTAGTTTGCTACCAGCATATAAATCCCCCTGATTTAGATTTGTTTTGACTTCTTCCTTTTTCCAGTACATTCCTCCTTTCCTGTGTTAGTTGTTAGAGATCAATTCAGGCAACCTTCTACCCTTTGAACTTACATTCTCTCTGAACTCAAGATGTTATAAAGCTTTTCCCAGAATCCAGTGGCACTATAAACGATGGCCACCCTTTGCTTGTGTGTCCTTTTGCTTGAGTAGGTTGCTGCAATGAAAAAAAAAAAATCTATATTTTGTGGCTGATATTTTGTCTTGCCTCATTGTGTGCTTCCAGCTCCCTAATTGGGGTAACAAACTTTTGTGTATATTTTTTTTAAGAAGAGATGAACTCAGTTTGGTTTAAGTCTACAGTGAACAAACAAGTGAAGAGTGACTGTTGCTTTTGTTCCATTAAATACTTAAGCATGTCCTTAGTTTTAGTTTGAATTATGGCAAGATATGAGCAAATTTTTAAAATGTCTTTCTCAATCAGTTAAATAAGTTAATAAATTACAAGCAAAAAAGAGAGAGGCAGCGAAGAATTTTACACAAGAGACCTCATCCTTTGCCAATCCCTCTACCACAAAACCTGCAAAATAAACACATAGGAAAGCAGATGTCTGAGTTCTGAACAAAATATTTTTAAACATAACTGGCTGAAAACTGAGAAAGTGACATTGATCCCAGGAGAATTTTGTGGTGGTTTTCTTACCTCTAAAATTTAATAATTGATTTGCTGAAACTTAACTATTAATTCAAGTTCTTCTCAGCCATGATGCGTGACTTTGTCTACCACCAGTTAACTACTTGGGTTTTTTAGGCTCTGCTTTTTTAAGCTGAAGCTTTTGGTTAGAAAAAGTGCTTTCAGAAGCATAGGCAAGTAACACTGCTGTTGATGTTGAGTTAAAAACCATTGTCAAAAGCCTCTTTCATAGATATTTATCTAATTCAGATTTTCACTTAGTGATTGCCATGGTTAAACTTGAATCTGATTTTATATTCTGAATAATATTGATTCATAACTTCACATCTTTGCATTAGATACTTGTATTTCCTCATGTGCAATACTACAGATCTACCCGGTCTGTTTCTCAACTCTGGTGTTACATTGGCATGGCTCTGGGGAAGCTAGTGTAGTTACACACTCTAAATGTAATTGAAGACGTTGTGTCAGAAATGGCACCAGTCGTGGACTTTGTGAAAGTACTTTGTGGGAGCTGTATGCTGCATCTTCAGCTCGGGAGTAGTCTGAAAGGAATTTGGAGCTTGGCTGTTAATACTATAGAGGGAAATAAGGATGAAAGGGGAGGCTGCTTTTGCTAACATGAACACACTTCCATCCATATTTCCTTTTTTATATGAGCTGCTGCTTCTGCTGATGCTGCCATGTTCATAACTTCAAAGTCCTTCTGTCGTTGTAGGCCATAATTCCGTGTCGTGGTCTCCATTTGCTATCTTCATAGCTGCTCCGTTGCTGTTTATTTTGTTCTTATATCTGCCTTTATGCTTTTGTTTCACCCCAAGCAGATTTTCATCCTTAGTGAGTTTGTCATGTCTTTGTAGCTTTTTGGCTGACCTGCTTTTGAGGGTTTATTAAAACTTAGTTCATTCCCAAAGCAAATCTTTAGCACATATGAAGATCTTCTAGCTCCATGTTAGTATATTCATTCTTGTTTGTTCAGCATGTTATTTCATTTCACTTCTATACATGCACAGTTTAATTTAGTTCTCTCTCCTTAAGAATTCATTCAGAGGTTGGGTTTGTACATGATATCACAGCTTTAACTCATGGACTCCTGCTTATGTGTTTTCCTATTTCGTCTAAAGACATTAATCTTCCTTTACAATAGAACAACTTAATAAGCTGCAAAACATTGATAAGGCAATTTAATTGCCAATGTTTATGTATTTTTTTAATATAGCTGAAATCCCTCCAAAGGTGGTAGGCAAGTGCTATCAGAGGTTCTCAATGAACTAAAATAATTGGAAAAGATAAGCAAATACAGCGAAAAAATAATAATAATGAAAAAATGACAAGACATCTTTACCAAGTTTAGTTTATTTATTCAACTTCTATAAATATCATAGATAGTGATAACTTGGTTTACAAGTTGAAGGAATAAAGTGAATATGCCAACTTGAAAAAATGTAAACAATTATATTGTCAGTTATTGTTTGAATTATTCATTTAAAATATCTTTGGGGAGTTTTCATTGCATGTGTAAAGCAAAGAACCATTCCTATGAGTAAAATGCAGTGAGAAATAATTGAGGTAGGCATCAAAAAACCCTTCTGACTGTTTCAGAATAAATATTCAAAGCTGCCACTTCTCCTGATTTTATTGTCAAGTGTTGGTATATTTGATGTTTTCTATAAGGCTTCAAACCTGAGGCAAACAAACTTATATAAAAAAGCCAACTTTTATCTTTCAAAGCAAATGTATAGCTATTGTGTCTGGCTCAAAAAACCATCATTACCAAGAGAACAAATACTAAGGCAATTAAAAATGTATTTAATCAATGGGAACCAATTCCCAAAGTTGAAAATCTTGTGTTTATTACTCCAGATCCACCACTGCTTGCCACTTGGTAATACCAGGTAAGCAGAATAATTATGAAAAACTATCCACTACAAATGCACAGACTTTTTTCTTTCTGCTTGAAGGCACAGTCATTCTCAAAAGTAATTTTCAAAGTCTGTCTGTGGGAGAAAAAAGTGCAGCTTCAGTTGAGGGCTGGGGAGAATTGGCTTTCACTGGTCTGATTATATTGTTCCAATGTATCTATTATATTATATATTGCAAGCTCTATAGCTTTTAACAATTTTAATTCTAATCTCAAAATGGCATTTTTAGACAAATATGCAATAGGAATATCCAAACTATTCTAATTTTTCTGAAACAGAAAAGTTTCTGAAAACAAATTAGAGTGTATTTGAAGCAGACTTTGAGACAGGTGAGAGAGAAGCATTAAGCATGCAATGGGAAGTACAGATAAGAAAAAGTAATATTGTTTCCCAGCACAAAATTAAGTCTTATAATGAAATATTCAGACCATATTCAGTGCTTGTAACTCAGATCAGACACAGTCCCAGATCTCTTGATCCTTTTGCTGTTAACAATTAACAGGGTTAGGATCAGGAGCCCCAATTAATAAAAAATAGCTCTCACAAAGAAGAAAGATATTTCTCAGTCACTTCAGTGGTGTGAACATTTACCAACTGCTTCAATATATACCAGTGTGAGCAATATAAAATATTTGCAATCCATCATAAAAATATTGTGTAAGTATTAAAATTGATAGAAGAAAATGATCATCACTGGTTCCCAGGTTGGACTCGTATCTTTCATCCTTTCTGTTCAAAGTCATGAATAGTTGCACATTTGTTATTAAAAGATTACTCAGTATTCTTTTTTAAATGTAGTGAAGATGGTGAATTGGATTTTTCCACTTCCAATTATGCAGGTTTGGATATAAAATGCTTCAAAGTATGCTGTTAATCTGTTACAGTCAAAATAATGGGTAATTGGAACCGAATGTCCTTTTTATCTGGCTGCATCTAGCTATCAAACAAATCCTCCTATTAATTGTTAAATCATAAGGACTTCAAAAGACATTTCTCAATTCACTGTTGGCGCTCTGATAATCTAATCTCCATTGGGCACTGGGACTGTGCTGAACTGTGTTGTCATTAGTCTTGTCAGCTCTGGTTCCTAATTTTATTTCCTCAGATTAATGAAATGAGTTATATTTTTGGAGAAACTTTTCAAATGTCATTTTGCAGATAAGGTTTTAGAAGACACAGTTATTTTGTAATAATGATTTTTTTCACTGTTCCTTAGTTTTAGGATTCCTCCGTGGTGTTGCTCAAGTAGCAAAAATTGAATGTAGGTGTAACCTTAAGATGAAGGTTATGTTTTGGGGGGGCTTTTGGGGAAGAGACAGAATATGGAAAAGATATTTGGCTGCTATATTTCCATACACTTATAGCCAATGTATGTTTAGTTCGTGAAGGACTTTCTTCAAATTCTGTAGAGCCATTTACATTAAAAGTTAGCTGGGCCACCTGAATTCATTTGGCTGAAACCCTTTGAAGACCTGCATTTTAAAGTGTTTTCATTTTTCTTTCTCTATTTTTTTTTTCTTTTCTTCTAAAGTATTATTTAAAGAGTATATTAGAAAACTGGGATGCTGTCATTTAGAGAGTATCAGTCTCTTGTCTACATGAAGTGTGCTGGAGATCATAGCAAATTGAACACTTAAAGGATCATCAGCTTGGCACTGTCAAGAAAATTATTTTGAATTTTTTCTTGAACTTTTCCCCCTAGGGGTCTCTTTCTGCCTGCACCTCTCTTTCATTTGTGAAACCTACAGCTGTTCTTCACTCCTGTTAAAAACCATAAAAATGCAAGAACAAAGAAAAAAATCAAAAACATTGAAAGAGAGTACAAAATAGCTGCTATTCTGTTCCCTAGGCTCTCTGCTTAAGAGCTCTATTCACTTAAAACATTTTCCAGCTTCTGAAACACTTGATTAAAGTCAATTGGGAAAAAGATAAGCTCTTAAAAGTGCTAATTTGTGACTCAGAGAACTTGAATAAGTCTAAATATGACATTCTCTGTTGCTCTGTATTCATGATTGTGGAGCTTGTTTGGAGGATGTTTTAACATTTCATTGCACAGCCTCTTGTGTTGTGTATTTTTTAAGGCATTCACTGATATAATATTGCAGTGCAGCTATAAGCTCCCCCCCATCTCCTTTCAATCTCTCTGAGTTTCAGAAAATCTTCTTCAGATCAGAAGCGAAGTGTTCCTTTTGTCTTTGACCACGTTAGCCCATAGGCAGTCCTTACTTGCCCTCATGTACCAGACTATGAGTTAAACTGATGTTCTTGTCTAATGAATGTCCTTTCATTTTAGGCTCTGGACAGATAGAAAAAATTGAGGAATCGAAACAAGTTGCACTGGGACTAATATGTTCAAAGAAGCAAGCTCTACACTGAGAGGCTAACAGAGGAGCAAGCCAAATAGTAGGTCAGTCTTTGAAGTTGTGATAGTTGTGACTGTGTCCCTCACAAGAACAATATTAGTGCTGGAGCAGACAGTTTTCAGGAAATATATCCAGTGTTCATAGCTTTTTCCAAATTAAGATTCCTTATCTTTACCACTGCATGTGTCAAACCAACTTTATTTTTCATATGGAAGGCATCTTCTAGATAGCTTTTTCTTTCCTACTTCAAAGATTGTTGAATGTCTTCTAATCAAGTAGTTCCTAACTCTTCTGTCTTCTCTCTTTTTGCAAAAACAAGGTTATCACTGCATATCTTACAGATAACCATACGCCTTGTCTCTCACACCTCCCTTCTCATGTCAAATCCCTTTTCTTCTGGTGTACTTGTGAGATATCCCAATATTAACAGCGGTTACGTATTTGCCTTAAGATTATGATTCAGTCTTTCAACTGACAGTTTCTGTTCTGCCCTGGGGCTGCTCACAGAGTCACACTGTATAATACATAGATATTTGCACACAGTTGCCACTGTTGTACTGCAAAAGTTACTTTTCACTGACCACCTTCTGCACATTATTTCACATTTCTCCAAATCTCCTTGCTCACACAAGTAGAAAAGGTTTTCATGCTTGTACAGAGGTACAACTTTTCTTCTGTTTCTTTCTGTTTGACTCATTGTGAGAGTAATGAATGCAGGAAAGGCTGCACTGAAGATTGAGCCAATAGTGTGAACTGCACTAGGCTTTTGAGCACTCAAAAATCTTTTCAGAATCTTGACTGTTTAGCTGTTAGGGCCTTACACTCAGTCTGCTATCTGTAAGTATACCATCCATGCATTGTATAAAATTAAGAGCTGTCTGGAAACTGTCTGCACATTATGTTCTTGAACAGGGTTATGTTTTTCCCTCATGCACTTGTTATCTCAGTGAAATTTGTTGCCCTGGTGTTAGTGATGGTTTCAAGACATGATATTTTAATTAATAATAACAATTAATTAATTAATCATCTCTTTGATGCTTGAGACTGTCAGTTGCATGAATTAAAAATCTTAGAGTCTGTACCTTTCTGTCTGTACAAACAAACCAGTGCACGCAATACAAACTGTGGATTTACATTGCCACATTAAAGTAAGTAGCCTCTGGACTTGGCATCTTTCTTTTTATATCTCTTTAAACGGATATACAAAATAAATACTATGCGTGAAGTGACACGTGAATTTACTCATAAACAAAAGAGATTAACTGTAAAAAATACCTGCATTTTCCAATACCTGCATTTTCCAATACCTGCATTTTCCAAAGATGCTTAAGGAAACTGAAATAAATAATAAACGGTGTTAATAGAGAAATTTTCACCCCAGTGCCAAAGAACAAATATTTACGTGATACTCATACAAATAAAAATGTAATTTTTGATGCTATTCATAACAAATCAGTCCCAATGCCTACCTGTTTATGATAGGACTGTTGATATTTTTAACAGCACATGTTTAGGTTCCTGTTCTGCCCTATTCTGTAATATTTTCATTGACAAAATATAGTACATAAGAAAGAATAGATTATTTGGTAGTGGTATTGGGCAAAGAAGGGTGCTGAATGTTAAAGGTACTAAAGCAGTAGTACAGAGTATAGGGAAGGAGCACGGAGTAGCAATCAGTATTGTTGAAGATTAAATCTCTGCTAATCTAATCAACATTTTGAAAAAATTTTCTGAAATATGCTATTTCTTGAGACTGAGAAGTCAGGATAGCTGATGTACCTCATTTCTATTCCCATGATTGTACCACGCAGTTCAAAGGACTGACCTTTGCAGAAAATCAGCCCATTACTTGTGTGATGGTAGCCAGAAGAACAGAATAATTATTTAACACTTTAAAATAATGAGGAAAGCAAATGTCTCATAAGATTAAAAAAATTTGTGTGCTTTGGAAGTACTAAGACTGGTAAGCAAAAATGTGGGTCTAAAAGCATAACAGCAAGAAAGAAATATATTAATAATCAGAACTACAGTAATTTAAAAAATCATATATGAAACAGTCCGTAGGATTATATAATGTAATTTTAGCCAAAATTCTTCCACATCTTTTTTCTTACCCCCTTTGCCAAGAAAAAGGTGTACTCCATTCAACGTACATTCAGTGTGTACATACTATGACACTGAGGACTTTCCAGCAATCTCTGAGCATATTGATGTGAGCATTAATGAAGTAGTGATGTAAAGTATGTTACAGATTAAAAAGCCCAGTTTGGCAAAGAACTGAGGATGCTCAGGCAAAGATTCATCTCTTCTAACTGTGTAGGTGAGGAACCTCGTTGTCCTCCCTTCAGTATTCAGTCAGTGAAGAAATAGGCACCTCCAGTTTAGTCCTTCTGGAGGGTTTTTTTGGCACACCAAAGATCTGAATCAGTCTCTGAAGTTTTTTTTTTATAAATATTTCTTAAACTACTGTATATGAAGTGTAAGGTGACTGAGCTATTAGCTTTGGGCTTCAGCTCTGTTTGGGCAAATACAAGGCTTAATAAATTTTGAAGCCTGATTAATTATGGCTCAGGTAAATGCAATTTAGATCAAATGTTTAATTTTTAGATTGCAATGTTGTGTAAGATCAGGTAGTTAATTCTAGTGATTGACTGAATTCTGAACAAAATGCATTGTGTGATACTTTTTTCATGGCATTAATAACTGACCCGTAAATGCCCCTGTTTATTTCCCTCTTATTAAAAAATACCTTCAAAATGCAAATGCTACATTTTGTGGTGGAGGGCATGTTCTGCAAGAAAAGAGGCAAACACTCTGGATTTGAGGATACCTCAGCCAAATAAGAACCTTTTAAAAGTTGAATGTTACATTGGGGTTACAACAGCCTCAGTTCTTGTCCCACGTGTACTTATAAACTTGGGCAAAATTAATGAGAATGAAAGACTTTGATTTTTATTATTTCTCACTTTGTTTTGATAATAGCTTGTAATAATTTGTGTCTAGCTGAATGATGCAATTCTGTGTCTCATGAAAGAGAAGCCACTGGGATGAGGCCACCTCCACACGTGTGAATGAGTATCCCTCTGACATTTATAGGGTGAATAGGAAAGGCCAAGTAGGAATAGATCATGGTTACAGGGAAATTCATTTTCCATGACCCATGTGTGTTTAGCCTGAGGAAAATGTATCTCCTTTGCTTTATGCAAAACAAGTTTTCCTGCAGTAGACTGGTAGAGCATAAGGGAGGTCTTTGGGTGATTTTGCTTTTTTTCCCTGTTTAGACTAGCCAGAAGATTGAATGCATTTCCTCAGTATTCAGACATGACAATCCCTAGTAATTAGCTGTCCCAAAGCTAGATTATTAGTAAGCTATAAAAAAGTCTCTAATTTCCATCAACAAATACAGTTTCCAGTCATTATAGTCTGCAAGAATAGCATCAGTTTATTTGAGATTTTCCTCTCCTAAGCACTGGTACGAGGAGTTATTCCCATATGAATTTAGAAGGATGATTAGAAAAAGACTTCTTCAAGATGGCTTTAAAATGAGGCAGCCAGACATAAGAATGTAAATCATGTTCTATGGGAAGAAAGAAAAATAGATCAGGCTAAGAATGCAAATCATATTCAACTGAAAAATTCAGATCAATATTAGAATCTGCCTTGTGTGACTGCAGTAGCATAAAATTATCTGCTGAGCTGCCTGTAAAAATGATGGCAGAGAGAGGAAAACGATTTCAAGCAAAAGATGGCCTGCTGATAATTTTGCACAATTAAGCCAAACTGTTACCCAAATTAGGAGTGAAATATTGTATGAAAACAGATGCAGAATACGAATATTTGTAGAAAATGTCAGGTACGTTCTTGTTTCATTGTTACAATGAGGTGGATTATGAGGTGTTGGAGAGGTGAGGAAAATTACTTCATCAGTACTGAGTTCCTAAGCAAAGGAAGCCTGATTGAATGTGCAATTAGGGAGCAAGTCATTGACCTTATGTTTCCAGCATCATGTCTTTAAAGGAGGGATCCCATACTTCGAGAGGTGCATTCTGGGGAGAATTTATTTTGGAAAGGTTTTCATTATGATTTTCAACATTGTGTGGAATTGCTAATAATTTGATAGGAGGAACACATAAAACAACAAAACAGCTAAAACAACAAAAACCACTCAAGCTCCCTGAGTTTGAAACAGAGTTGACTGCATTCACCTTTCACAGGCTTCTCTGCGGCCAGCTTCTGCAGATCCAAGACAATTTCCAGACTTCAGGGTATATTTTTCTTGTGGATGAGGATCCTGGAAGTCTGCGGGCCTTAGCTGAAACACATTTCCTTCATGATCTTCATGACACCTATTTCTATTCAGTGTCAGAAACCGGATTGTTAGGAGTCCTAGTTCAGAATATCAGGTTCAGATTCCTTTCTTCATTGCTGGGCTCCACCCTCAACTAGCTTCATGCACAATGTGATCTGAATGGATATCTAAGTCTCCCTCATTCCAGAACAAAATATCTGATGGTACATCCTGAAGTTTAAAGTTTTCTGAAATTGAGCTGGAAGTGTGAATTGTTTGCTGGCTGAATACTTTCTGAGCACCTTGTTATGAGTCTTCTAAAAAATTTGGCCACAAATTTAGCAACAGGAACTTCTAATTTCAGTATCAAATATTAATCAAGACGCCTTTGATTTGTGCCACTTAAAACACTGTAACAGGTTGATCATAACCTATTTGGTGCAAGCATTCTGTGATTGCTAGACAGAGTCCCTCTCTGGTGACTACTAGAAAATCATAGTCACATGACTCGATTATGGTGAATTAATAATTGTGTAAGCTCTGCTCACACAAATTAACAAACTTCTGAATAAAGGAACGTAGTTTTCAATTTCTCTTTCTTGAAAAAATTTCAGATTCCATTGTTTAATAAATGATGTGACAAAACAGGGATTGGATGGTTTGACTATCGTGTAAGGAGTAGGATGAATCAAAAACATATTTTGTCGAGCAAAGGATGTGTTCTGCAATGATTTTCCTGCTTTATAGGTA